AGAGAGAGAGAGAGAGAGAGAGAGAGAGAGAGAGAGAAGAGAGAGAAAAGAAAGAAAGAAAGAAAGAAAGAAAGAAAGAAAGAAAGAAAGAAAGAAAGAAAGAAAGAAAGAAAAAGAAAAAGAGGAAGAGGAAGAGGAAGAGGAAGAGAAAAAGTAAGCCACCAGGTCTGGGACTCAAACCACGGTTGTCCATGTCGGAGTCCAGGTGTCTTCACCACACCAACTGCTGGCCCCCTAAGAAACTCTTAAAAAGCTTTTGGCAGAGAAATTGACTAACTGTATGTGTGGAAATGAATGACTACATAGGCCTTTTACATTATTATTAGTGAACAGAATGAAAAGAAAAATGTTTTATAATGTATTTACATTATTAAGAAATTATTGGGGCCAGTCAATGATGTGGAAGTTAAGCCAGCTGGATCCCACGTGACCAATTGTGTGGTTTACGTCCCAGACCCAGCAGCTTAAAAAACACACTGGGCACATGTGGGTGCAGTACTCAAAATCCCTGAGAGGAGAATGGAAGGAAAAGAATTGTTGTGTGGTCATCCTTTGGGGAGTGATTTATCACTTTCTCTCTCTAGGAGCTTACATGCAAAAAGAGAAAAAGAGAAAAAAAGGAAGGAAGGAAGGAAGGAAGGAAGGGAGGGAGGAAAAGAGAGGGAGGGAGGGAGGGAGGGAGGACGGGAGAAAGAAAGAAATTCTCAACTAATATAGTCTTCAGTGTTTCTAGATTTATGATCACTTGACTATGGTTCAGTTTCAGGACTGCCTTTTCACTTTCTAGACAAAAGTAACTTCTGAAGAAAATTAATAATGTAAACAAATGGTTTGAAGTACCACAGAAGCATCTGTTTACATTCAGATAATTAATATGCTAAGTATTCTTATCTATTAAATTAAAGCAGGTCACCTAAGGACTTTTCTAGATAATACTTCATTAGCCTAATAATAATGAGTATCTACAGTTGAAGTAATAAAATGGACATCTGTTTTAAAACATCCTTCAATTAAGCCTTTTACTATATCAAACCAGCTTTTATATCTAATTTCAATTATTGCGGTTTGTTTGTTTTTAAAATTTATATGAATTTATTTCCTCCATGAGCAAGAGAGAGAGAGCACCCCCAACAGGGTGCTCACTTGCCTATCTACTTCGAGCTCCTAACAAGTTCTAGATCAGGGCCAAACATATGCCCAGAGTACTCAGGGAGGTCTCTGGTTTTTCTTTCTTTTTGTTTTTTGTTTGTTTGTTTGTTTGTTTTGAGAGGTTTTTGCTATAGGGCGCGTGCGCTCTCCAGACAGAGAGAGACAGAGAGACAGAAAGTGAGAAATCACCCCCTAAAGGGAATGGGCATGCCGCAATCCCTTCTCCTCCATTCTCCTCTCGGGATCTTGAGCACGCACGCACATGCGCCCAGCATGAGTTTTAAGCCACCGGGTCTGGGATGCAAACCGCGGTTGACTACGTGGGAGTCCAGTGACATAGCCATTACACTAACTGCTGGTTCCCAGGGAGGTCTCTGGTTTTGATCTGTGAACAACAAACCTTGCCATATGGGACTGCCTGGTAAAGCATCTCATTTTACTACTGCACCACAGTCTGACTCCCATGTCCCCATCAATTACAGAGGAATTACATGTTAGGAAAGAAAAAAAAAACCTACATTGAAACAAAATAAAAATGTTTCTTCTTACCTTTGATGTCCTCCATTCCCAACCATCTCCTATCTGTTGTGAATGTTTAATGAATTCTGCACAATAATGCTGGAATGTTTTTTCTCCCAAGAATTCATCTTCTTCCATATTAAATGATGACTGCAATATAAAAATTAAGTATTTGCATGAGCTGTAGAATACATGTTGGAAAGAATTCTGCTAATTGGCTAATTTCTTTAAATAAACAAAAATTTAAGATACAGAAGGGAAAATAACCTTAGGACCATTCCAAAGTGTGTTTTTTTTTTTTTTTTTTTTCCCATCTCTCTCACCCTATAACCATTGCTTTTAATCAGAAAGAAATGTGATCAACATGAAAACCCAAAACCTAGACTTGAAACAAATACATATCTATGTTTTTTATCATGACAAGGGGTTGGACATGGTCTTTTATGAGGGAATTGGGGAAGGGGAGGTATCAGGGTGAGGAATGGACTCAGAACCTGCGCTATGCAGCATCAAAGGGAGGAGTCAGAGAAGAAGGAAGTCTAATCTATTCGAGGTACTAATTTATTCAAGGCACTAATCTATTCAAGGTACTAATCTATTCAAGGTACTAATTTATTCACAGTATTCATCTACTCAGGGTTTCAGGTTATCCTGTAGCTTGGGGAGGGACACTAAGTTTGCCAGAGGGCAGAAATTTCAGGCAGCTATCAGTCCTGAGTTATTCATGAACTCAGGATCCTTCCATATCAAAACAACCTCCTCAGAACTTAGCTGTTACATTGCTAGTGCCAATCATCACATTTCATGAGAAAGTTCAACTCACTAACAAATGCTGTTCTTGGGACCAGCAAATAGCATAATGGATACGTTGCTGGACTTTCACATGGCTGACCATGGTTCAAGTCTTGGACCCAGCAGCTTGAAACTCACACCAGGTACTTGTACATGTGTGCCCAAAATCCCAAGAGAGTGGAGAAGAGATTGCCACATGGCCAATCCTCCTGGGGGGCGATTTCTTGCTTTCTGTCTTTCTGTCTCTCTCAGTCTCTCCAGCAAGCACATGTGTCCTATAGCCAAAATTTCTCTAAAAGAAATTTAACACCTAAAACTCAGTAACAAAATAATGTTCTAAACCCTGAAACTGTTTATCAAAGTGTAAGGTCATTATCATCCAATTAATTACTTACTTTATCAAATTTACAAATGTGACATATTAAGAAATACCCACATATTTGTATTACAAATATCCAAAATGTGAAACATCATTTATAGAGAAAGAATTTTAGAACAAAAAGGAAACCCACAGATCATGTAGTTCAGGCTCTCAATAATAAAAATTAGAGGAAGTGAGTTCCTATGTTCTCGTCATTAATGATAAACATCAAGCCTGTCAATAACTACAGCAAATTCTATGATGGGTTCTCCTCATCATTTAATTCTTACACAACCTGGGAACCAGCAGTTAGTGTAATGGCTATGTTGCTGGACTCCCACGTAGTCGACCGCAGTTCGCGTCCCAGACCCGGTGGCTTAAAACTCACGCCGGGCGTGTGTGCGTGCATGCCCAAGATCCCAAGAGGAGAATCGGGAAGGGATTGCGGCATGACCATCCTCCCTGGGGGGTGATCTTTCGCTTTCTGTCTCTCTGTCTCTATCTGTCTGGCGAGCGCACGTGCCCTATAGCGAAAACCTCTCAAAAAAAAAAAAAATTCTTACGCAACCTAAAAGTTGTAATTCCCATTCCTCACGTGAATAAGAAGTAATCTACTCAAGAATACAAACCAGAAAGAATTCAAATCTGTTTTGCTCCAGGATCCATGAACTATCTACATCAGTGGTCCCCAACTTTTATAACACAAGGAACCAGTTTCATGGAAGACAATTTTTCCATGGATGGGAGGAGGCATGGTTTCAGAATGATTCAAGAACATTATATTAGTTCTATACGTTATTTCTATTATTATTACATTGTAACTTATAATGAAATAATTATATAATTCACTATAATGCAGAATCAGTGGGAGCCCTGAGCTGCTTTTCCTGCAACTAGGTGTCCCTCCTGGGGGCTCTTATAAGACTCTAATCCCGCTGCTGATCTAACAGGAGGCAGAGCTCAGGTGATATGCAAGTGATGGGGAGTGGCTGGAAATACAGATAAAGCTTCACTCATTTGCCCATCATTCACCTTCTGCTGTGTGGCTCAGTACCAGTCCATGGCCCAGAGCTTAGGAATTTTTGGTCTATAGCAGCTGATTCTCAAACCAGGGCACTTTCTGATTATTTAAATTTAGTATAACTAATATATGGAATATGTTCATTCATTTCACAAATTCATATTGAATATCTACTAAGTAGTAGACACTGTACATAGATAAAGCTTATGAGAAAGAAAAGTAGTTTAGCATATTTAAATTTTAAAGGCGTAAACACACCCATCAGGTTTATTGCCCAAAGGGCATGTTTTAGTTTTCAGTAAAGGAACTGCGATAATGGAAAAGGATTATAGATTTTACATTAAGACCCTCACTCTTCACCTAAGTGTTCTCTAGTTCATGATGTAAAGAATAAGGTATAGCTAATCAGTTGCCTGCACTGTTTTAATTTTTTTTTTTTTTGGAGAGGTTTTCGCTATAGGGGGCGTGCGCTCACCAGGCAGAGAGCGCCAGAGAGACAGAAAGCGAGAAATTATCACCCCCAGAGGGGATGGCCACGCCGCAATCCCTTCTCCTCCATTCTCCTCTCGGGATCTTGGGCACGCAAGCACACACACCCGGCGTGAGTTTAAGCCACCAGGTCCGGGACGTGAACCGCAGTCGACTACGTGGGAGTCCAGCGACATAGCCATTACACTAACTGCTGGTTCCTCAATTTTTTCATTATTATTATGCCTGAGGGTGTATGCACACACAGGAGAAAAGGAGGGAGGGAGAGAGAGAAAGAGAGAGAGGGAGAGAGCGCATGAGCCCACATCCCAGTGGGACCTGGTCATGCCAGAATCCTCTTTCCTACAATTCTCTGTCCCATCAGGATCCTGGATATGTGCACGCACACCTGGCATAAGCCACTAAGGCCAGGACTCAAACCCCAGAGAGTCATGTGGAAGCTAATTTTCTCTACATAGTGCATAACCACTGCACTATAGGGCTGGCCCTTTGCAAAATGGACCAGTGTCAACTGTTGACAACTCATAACCACCTCTCTTCTTGCCCTTCTGCTTTTACATAAACCAGCTTTCTCAGTTGCCATTTCAATAAGCACATTTCTGAGAAATAGTCTGCTCATCTGGGCAATTTATACTAAGCCCTGGCTCAAATAAACTATTTTTTTTTGTTTTTTTGTTTTTTGGTTTCTTTTTCCTTAGTATGCCTCAGTCTTCTTTTTCAGGTGATAGTTAGATAAACAAATACAGAAAAATATACAGTCCAGCCTAATAAGAGCTCATATTCTAAGAAAAGGATAAAAGCAGTAAGTGCACTGTAATTATATTAGGAATTCTTTAGCCAATCTTCATCCAACGAATTGGTCAGATTAATTGACACGGTGTCCATTCCCTCTATGAAACATTGACTGATGTCTGTGGCATGCTGACCACAAAGAGCTTCTGCTACCATCAGTTGAGAGTATGTTTACAAATTACAGTCTTTTCCTTTATTTTATTTTTAATTTGCTATAGGGCAAGTGCACTCACCAGAGAAAAAGAGAAGAAAAGTGAGAATGCATCACCCAGGACCAATGCCCACACTGAAATTCTCTCTCCTTCAGGATTTTGGCCATGCATCTTCAAGTGTGCTTTTCAAGCTACTGGGTCCAGAATTCAAACCAGGCAGTTGGCCATCTAAAATCTAGCTCTTTTAAGCACCATGCCACTGGCTTGCCCAACAAACTACCTTCTTGTATCATAAGTATATACTTTAAATCAAATATTAACCAAACAAAGCAAAAAAAAAAGTAAAAAAATGAATAATGACTGTTACTTCAGTTATTGAATGCCTTGAAAAGACTCAATAATGGCAAAAAAATCATACAAACCCAGAATTCTGCACTCAGATAACTACACGATTGGCTTGCATTCTTTTATTTAAACCAAAACTAGATAGCTAGAGGATGTACTCTGGATTCAGTTTAATCAAGAATTAACAGTGAATATCAATCAAGTACTCACACTCAAAGAAATGGCCTTGGTTATACATTTTTTTAAAATAATTATTTTATTTAAATTTATTTATTTATTTAGAGAGACAGAGTGAGAGAGAGAGAGCAAAAAAGAGAGAGAGGGAGAAAATGAGAAAGTAAGCTGCTAGAACCAGGACTCAACTGTGGTCGGCCATGTGGGAGTCCAATACCCTTAACCACCATGCTACCTGCCAGGCCCTACACATTTTTTTAATTAATTTTTTAGAGGAATTTTTGCTACATGGTACATGCGCTCACCAGAGAGATAGACAAAAAGTGAGAAATCATCCTCTGGGGGTAAGGCCACACTGCAATCCCTTCTTCTCCATTCTCCTCTAGGAGAGTTTTAAGCCACCAGGTCCGGGACTCAAACCACAGCCAATTATGTGGGAGTCCAGCAACATAACCATTACACCATCTGCTGGTGTCAGTTACACATTTTAAAACTGGCAAAAAATGCATTTATGTTTGAACTTGATTAGAATAAGTCTAGTGCACATGTATTTTATTTTAACTCTAGCTTTAATCATTTTTTTCAGTTGCTCAACTATCAATTCTGATAACACTAGAAATAAAAGATGTCTATTTAAAGTGTATACAATAATGGAGATATGCACAAATATTATGGTAGGCACAAGAAGGGTCCCTTACCAAGAGCTGATGAAGTGAGGAGGTTTGAGGAGTAAAGATGGAAATGAACCTTTAAAGAAGGAGTTTTTCACACCAGGAGTGCAAGTATCCAAGGGCTGAAGACTGTGGAAAGGGGCCTCTGACATGGTAAGACCTATTTAAGGGTGTCTTTCTGGCTATTGCTTTCTTCCTCTCCCATGTGTATGTGCACGTGCTCTCTCACATAGACAAAATAAACTATTTTTAAAATAATAAAATAGGGGGGTCAGCAGGTGACATGGTGGTTAGGGTGCTGGATTCTCACATGGCCAACCATGATTCAAGACCTGGATCTGGTGGCTTGAAAA